AATATCAAAAGAAGCGAGATTGAGTATTAACAATTAGAGTGATTTATAATGTGCTTCAGCAGAGCCTTTCCACAGTTCAGAGATTGCTCGAGAACTCAAAATGAATATAAAATACCTCCTGAGGATTTAATTGGAGCTGATAAACTGTTTGCTGAAGCTCTGTTAGGAAGGTTTAGAGGACCACTAAAACTAGGAGCTTTCCGCCCTGGCTGAGCCTTGTCAGCTATTTGGTGGTTTTCGATCTCACACCTGATGAGAACATTTTTGTTTCCAAAGAATTTTATTAAGGTAAATCCTGCTAGTGTGCAAAAGCACATAAATGAGGAGACACGTGTTACACTAAAATCATGAAACTACAGGAAAAGAAAACAAAGGTTTCCCAGCTATGCTAAGATTAGCCATGCCTATTTTCCCAAATTAAATTTATCCCTTCAACGAACTTCTACGAAAATAAAATAACTAAAGGACAATGAAAGGTAATGGTAGTCAATGACTGGACCAAAATAATCGAAATCCTTCAAATATCTATACTAAATTTTATAGCGCAACCAGGTCAAAAGATATCCTTTAGAAACACCTCTTTGTCACAACATTCCCACGACGTCAGGTGAAATAGTTCAATACAAGAAAAATGGGGCTATCACTTGGAAGTGTTGGATAGGAAACTGATCATAAAAGAAGGCCAATTTTAAGGACATTTGTCCCAAGAGCATTTCATTTCATTGGTAGCACAATCATCGAGATCATTAGCAATACAAAACCATGATGCAATTAGTACTGATTATTTATATCAAAATCTTTCCCCACGGTCAACTATGAGCTCCACAGCGACAACTAAAGTTTGTTGGCATGCTCCACCTATGCATTATAATAAGTCGATTTGGATTGACTACAAAGATGTTCCTTAATTTTAAGTTATAAATCGTTCAACTGGGCATCAGAAATGTATTGAGGGCACATGAAGCAAGCAACAAGAAAATTATACAACAACAACAACAACAACAACAACAACAACAACAACAACAACAACAACAACAACAACAACAACAACGTACCCAGTATATTCCCAACTGGTTGGGGTCTGGGGGGTCAGTTGTACGCAGACCTTACCCTTGTAATTATACAAGGAGGCTGTTTCCGTAGCGACCCAAAGTGCATTGCGTCGTTTGATAACAAGAAAATTATAATTATTGCAATTTAATAATAAGAAAAAGAAAACCTTTCAAAGTTGTGCGCTCTTTCGGATTGTGAATGACTTAGCACAGCAGCAGGCACGAGTGGCCCGCTTTGAGTTTGACGAGGCCTTCCAATCTGATTTCTAGTCCTGGCTTGTGCTGTTTCTTTTTCTACTACTGGTGGCGGAAGCTCAGGCTTTGGTTCTCTATTCTTAAGCTCAGATTTACCACTATTACAATCATATCCTGATATAGCATCTTCATTTGCCTTTCCTTTATTTGTCTGATTCTCCAGTACAGGCACGTCGAAAACATTTGCTTTTTCTCTGGAGAAAAAAGAAGGAAAATATAAACTTCTTTAAGTTTGGTCATAGAGATAGAATGGTACATGTTCGTCCTGTATAAATAGAATGCCTAAAAAATAATCTTGCAGGAACTAAATTTGCAATTTTAAACCGAATCAAACTCGAATAAAGTTAAAGTAAACATATCTGTAAGCAGAAAATTGGGAATTCACAAGAAACTAGAATTAATCTTACACAATACCTATCAAAAATTTTTGTAGCCATTGTCTTCCCTACTGAAGTAGATGTCTTCCCTACTGAAGTAGATGCAACCTATTAACAAGCAGAGAACATGCCCTTACGATAATCCCTTAAAGCATAAAATAGGAGATATATATAAAAATAAAAAGGGTATGGAGCACCTCAATAACAAAGACAGGGTGTCAAATAATCGTCATTACCTCTGCACTCGTACAAAATCTGAAGCTGTATTCTTCTTCCTTGATTTCTTGTATTTCATCCTCATCTTGCAGCTGCCAAGAAAAAAGAATCTATCTGCCCCTTGCAAGACTTAAGGTTTTCATAATGACTGATCAACTATAACGAATATTTGATCTACATACCAAAGATGCTTGATGCTTTAAATCTTCAATATCAAAGTTCCATGCACTTACTCCACGCTGGTACTCACTCTGAAATTGGAAAGTCGAACTTATAAATGAGAAGGTAAACTACGCACAGGAGGGCACTGCGAGTGGGGAGTGCAGGGGCTGTAATAGCTCTATTAATCTACAAGTTTAACTGACACCAAACAAATGATTGCCTATTCATTATACCAAAAATTACAATATTAAAGGCCCTGCATTAGCAGCCTATACGGACCCTAAGGTTAGCAAGAATCCTTGAAGAATAGTAATTAAGGAAACAATGCATTGCATGGACCAGACAAGTAATTTAGTGCAGAAGCTGAATATCGTGTCATGATTGCCACTGCGTGTGAAATCACATGGCTCAAACAACTCCCACAATTACGTTTTAGTTTTAGGGATAAACTCGGTACCAAACTTAGTAGAAATAATAAAGCCGCTATTCACATTATATCTAACCTGGACTAAACACGGACTAACCACATAGAGATTGATTATATCTTTGTGAGAGCGATAGAGAGAGCTTTCTGGAGAAATCACCACCGACTTTGTAAGCTCTAATGGTCAGTAGACTATGTGTCAAAATCTATAAAATGTGTTAGAATTGATTACATTTGTGACAAGATGAGTTCATATGATATGTATGCTCCAGCTTGAGGAGTGTTGAAATATATGATTTGATCTTGTTGAAGATGCTAGGAGGTAGGATTTGAATCTACTGAAGATCTAATATCTATTTATGTGAATTAGGAAGATATGATATCGTGTATAGCTAGAATCAGGGGTTTTGTTTATTTCCTTTAATGTAACTCTTCTCTTGTATTTATAAATACAGCAGCCTGAGTAGAAGAAAAATATACAAGACTTTTCACATAAAACTTTCTATATCATTCATATAAAGAAAGTTCAAGCCATCAGAGTTACACACAAACACATACTCATATATATTGAACACAATATCGACATTAAAAGAAAATGAACTTATAGGCAAAGAAAACTACCAGACATTGGTTCTTTGTTTTTTATGAGATAATCAGGCCTATTTTACCCCAACCAAAAAGCAAAACTTACTAACTGGAGGAAGGACATTGTCCCATTAGCATATGTTCAAAGCAATAAAGTATGTTAGTTAATGATGATGATGATGATGATGATGATGATGACGACGACGACTCCTCACCTGAGAGATAGCTTCTTGGTCTGCTGAAGCAAGCTTTTTCAAAGCAAGTTGTGCAGCATCTTTTAGCTACATCAAATTCAAAACAAAGTAAATGAATGTGCAAGAAAGTTTAGAAGCCAACTACAATTACTGTAATACCTGGAGATCTCTCACACGCTTCCATAGTGGTGGCAGGTCAACAAACAGTTTCTTCACAGAAAGCTCGGGAGGCTTTGCGTTTCTGAAAAATGAATGTTTTAACAACTTCTCTGCAGTCGGTCTCTTTGTTTGATCTTTCACCAAGCACATGGCCACCATTTCTTTAAAAGACTGTTTAAAATGGAAGGTTGCTAAAAAATTGACTAGTAAAATAATATGTAAGTGAAATAAAGTTTTTGGTGAACATCTACAGCTTAAACTATCACAATTACCTTAGAGAACCTCTTATCACGGTCATAATCAAGTCCAGGTGGGGCATTTTGTATGGTCATTAGCAGAACCTATCAGGAGGTGGAGACAAATAAATGTAAGGGTCTTGTAACATAGCGTCAATGAACATAACCAGTCTTTTTGTTGATATGTTACCTTCATTGGAGGATATTTTGAGAATGGTGCATGTCCATGAGCCAACTCCAGCGCAGTTATTCCAAATGACCAAATATCAGCCCTGTCATTTTGATGGAAAGCACTAAAAATATATTCGCCAACATAATGAACCTTTGTAAATGATTATCATGGTACGACATCCATCCAACATAAAGAAGTCACTTCACAAATATCCTTGGGCAAATCATGTGTAAAAATGAAATAACAGTATGGGCAGATTCTCTTTACGACTGTAATTAATCAGCAGGAGATGTGTGGAAAATGAAGCAACAAAATGTCAAGAGGGAAAACCCTAAGCTTTATATAACTTGGCTCACACTGCGCGAACAAAATTCTGGAAGAACACCCCATTATATCTTATAAACCTAGTGAGCTACTATTATTACTAAATGGTTTTGGGATGAAACTTCACTTAGGTGGCGACTAAGCTCACCCATCAATTGGGTGCGCCTCGCATCAAGTATCCCCCAACCCCCACCCAAAATATGAACAAAACAAGATGTACATAGTCTCCTCGAAGATGCCACTACAAATGATATCGAGCACAATTTATTTGAAGGTGGTCAGTAACATCATATATTCATGCATGCAAAAACACCTTTTGGATGCTTATCCAATTACAAAGCATGAAGCACTTCTTTCACATAACCATGTATGAGAATAGTATGCAAAACTCACTTGAAATCATAACCAGTTCCTGGCTGCAAAACTTCTGGCGCCATCCTGAATGATACGGAAAAATGAAACTATTAAGGCATTTTTTATTACATACATGTGCGTGTGTGTGTATAGAGAGAGAGAACGAGAGGGAGAGATCAAAAGTACCAGCAAGGAGTTCCTACAAAGGTATTCCTTGAACGCTGCCTATCACCTCTGTCAAACATGCATGCTGAAACACCAAAGTCAGCAAGTTTCACCTCACCATCGCTATCCATTAATATATTTCCTGCCTGCGGGAGAAAAATGACAAACCTTTTAACAGTTCACTATGTATACAATCCAGAGGCGCAAGTGAAATTTTAGTATAGATTCTAAATAGTAGAAACAACTAGCCTTCACATCACGATGGATATGGCCATGCTGATGAAGATACTCCAAAGCCTTCAAAGTTTCTTTCAAGATAGATCCGATGGCAGATTCTTCAAATCCTTCAGGGTATGCTATCTTCATGAGATGTAAGCAAGAACCCTCAGCCATAAAAGGCATAACCACCCAAAGGTTTCGGTCAACAACAAATGAACAAAATGCTTTTATAACATTGGGATGATCAATTAGGCTCATTGTTTGAGCTTCCTTACGAATATCATCCTGTGAAGAAAAAAGGGTAGTGTTACTCATTAAGACCAACCCAACATCTTTCACTTAATTTACAGGAAAAATATTCAAATTTAACGGTTAACTTTTTCAGGTCTACTGCAATATAAAATAAAGCACCCAAGAAAGTGATATTCAATTGTCAGTCAACATACTTGAACCAAGTTATTCCCACTTAGGGGGGAAATAATGATAATCCAATCGTATGGTTAGCAGAAGATGTATGAATTTGGATTTATCGCGATCTAATTCGGTAGATGATAATAAAAACTTCTTCATAAAATCATTAAAGATCTGCAATAAGCTCTGAGAAAACCGAGACAATAGAAGTCCTAAGCTTGCATATATTAAGTACCGATTATTCATTATTCAATAAACCTAGAAAGCAACAAACCAATTGAGAAAACACTAAGTTATTTATCTCCGCAGAGTATCATTCAGAGCGTCTGCACACGGTTCCACATTCAACCTTGCCCAGATACTAATAATATACAACAAAACAAATAGCCAACAGAATATTTAGAAATTTGTAAAGGTTTAAGGATGAAATCATACATTAGTCACTACGTGCTGCACCTGATAGGCAAGAAGGTCAGAGTACTAAATAGCGGTGAGAAGTTCTTTATTGTATATGTAGGTTGATTATTTGTAAAAACATATACGGGTACATAGAAACTTTGACACTCTTGCTTTGATTTTGACGATCAATGTCTGTGTGTGTTCAATTCTCTTATGAACATAATACACACATGGACACATTTCAAGGTTAATCCATCAGCAGGCTAAATTCAGATCATGCAAAGTTCATGGTTTACAGTTTGTATTTTCGCAGGTATTATAAATAGCAACTTAAAATCTAGGGCAAAAAAGGGAAAAGGAAAATACAAGAGAGTCAAATAAGCATCAGCATGTTTGATGTAGTGTATCTTCTTCAATGGGATATTGGGATGATTGTAGTGTTTACACACATAACAACATTACGTTAAAAAACGAGATGAAAAAAGATCTCTATATGAAAGAAGATATTTTAGCAAATAATGAAACTGTCTACTTAGATATGAACAACAACAATCGTAAATTAGCATAATTTATGATATGAGAATGAAGATCAACATGCTCACATTTTTAATCATCATGGGCAACAACTCATTTTGATCATTACTATTGTAGCCAGTCCTCTTCTCAACAATAGATTATGATAAGTAACTGGTTCAACACTCGAAAGGGAGATGTCCAGGTTACCAGAAATCTTTATCGAGCACCCACCAATCAGAATGAGCCAGAAATCAGAACTTCAAAAAAAAGTATATCTTTTCTCAGTCAACTCTATTTAACTGTGCTTGTGAGATAAATGAATGACCAAAACTTTAATGAACTTAGCCTAAAAACATAGTCGATAACTGACAGCACCTCTTACAGTGGATTTTCATATGCTGTCAGTGAAACTTGCCTACATGATACTTCTAAAGGCATTAAAAGAACTACAAATCTTATACAGAAATCAAATAGTGCCACTAAACATTCTCTACAATTGCCAACTAAACCAACTGAAGGGTTCAAACTTCAGAGTTGTACCCTTCAAAGGTTAACCAAGTCCACTCAGTCAATATAACAAGAATTCCTACAAACCTAAAAACTGCAAGAAAGTTCACTCATTGAAATTAAAAGCAGATTCAGAAACACATCCCATCATCTAGATATAAAATTAAAACTACCTCACACAAGAGACAAACTAAAATTGAACTCGTAAAATGATGAAAACCAAAAAACAAACCAGATTGCTATTGCATCGATCGAGATCCAAGCACTTGACGGCCACAACTTCATTGGAAGGCAAATAGATCGCTCGGTAAACAGTTGCGCTCGCACCGTATCCCACCTCTTCTACAAGTTTGTAATCATTAGAATTAGCCGAATACGTCCTCCCCATTTTTATTTTTTGTTTCTTCAGACAGCCATTGATGGGACCATCAATCTGAAAAGCCTCGCCACTTTTGATTTCTCAATCAAGGAGACAGAAATGAATAGAATCTTCACGGAAGAGCATGAATCTTCTTTCTTTCTAGTACTACCTTTTTTCCTAAGCTTAAATCATACCAACTATGTACAGACCGGATGAGTCTACGGATATGGACTGTATTCAAGTCTGCTCTGGTGTTTTTCCTTTAATCTGTCTGTTATAATATTTAATTTATCGGCTGGATCTGCTGTTTCACTATTATTTTATTATTTTACTATTTGTGAATGCATGATATGATATATTTTAAAGAAAACAGCTATTTTTCCACTCTTAATATGAGCTAAAATTTTGCGCACCTCCTATTTAAAATGGTTACACAAGTTAATTTTTTCACCTCACCAAATGCAAAGTAATTTATGTTGTAATGTTTCAGCGAATTTACATACATACTATGTTGATTCCTAAAATATTGCAACAATACTACACGGATTGTTATTATTTTTTTTTTTTTGCATATCTTTTTTTTGATCAAAACGATAGAGAAGATATATATAACCGAACCGGGAAATCGTATACAAAGAAATAGAAAACTGGGAGGACTCGCATGCAAGCGGCCTAGACGCCTAACTCTGGAATGCAGACAAACTGAGGGAGGAAAAAACAACAAGAAAGAGCAAGAGCACTAAGAAACTGCAACGTGCCTAACTTAGTACTAACTGCTCACAAACTGAGAAAAACAAAAACAAACTAATATAAGAAAGAGAACAAAACTGAAATCATTTCTTGGAAGCGCACTAAAGCAGCAAGTGAGTGGGGATATATGAACCTTCAAAGAGCCATAAGTTTCTCGAACGCCACAGCCACCATAGCATGTAGGTGGTGAGCTGTATTCGGTCTTCAGCAATTATGCATTTCCTGCTAGAACAGATGTGATTCCACCAGAGCACAAAGAAGTGTCTTCCTCATGAGTGAAATCCCAGTGAATATGGCCAGTTTCCCACAGTCTGCAAGCTCTAGGACAGAGGAAAAAAAAAACATGCTCCACTGTTTCAGGCTCAGTTTCACAACCTTGGCAGATAACATCTATGTCTAAACCTCTTGATTTCAAAGTTGTTTTAACAGGGAGTGAACCTGAGTAGCATTTCCACAGGAGATGTTTAATTTTGCTGTTAATCTTCAATTTCCAAGTGAAAGTTCTTATAGCCTTGATGTCTAGAGAATTGCGGCTACTTTGAGGGATGTCATGATCCAAGACCTTCTTTTGCATTAATTTTGAGTCATGGAGGAAACTGTAGACAAGCCTTTATTATGAAGGCACCAAAGGCTTTTGTCAGGTCTAGATGGATTAACAGTGGAGATGTTCAAAATGGCTTTGTTATCTTCAGTTCCAAAGACTTGCCTGACTAGCCACTCATTCCACCCGGTTTGGTTGTCATCAAGGAGGTCTTTGACCCAAACCAAATGGCCTCTGGCAATGGACAAGAGATTGGGTTTTATGTCATTCAGAGAGGGCACCCAACAAGGATCGTCTATTTTAGTAGTGAGGCCATTTCTGACCTCTGTTCTGAATCCTTTTCCAAAGCCAAGGATGATTGTTACCCAACTATTCCCCAAGTTTACTCTCTGACTTGTGAACAATCTGTATTTCTCTAGGATAGTGGTAAGAGTGTTAGTCTGCTCCAATCCTGCTTTACAGAAACAAAGAGTATCGTCTGCGAATAGCAAGTGAGATAGAATGGGGCCATTCCTTGAAAGTTTCATCCCAGGGAGAGAGCCAGTAGAAACAGCATCTTGGATCATAGTTGAAAGCAATTCTGCAATAATGATTAATAAGAAGGGAGAAAGAGGGTCTCCTTGACGAACTCCCCTGGAAGGTCTAACAAATCCACCAGTTTCTCCATTGACAGAGAAAGAAAATGTTGCAGAAGAGAGACAGGACATGATCAATTTGATAAACTTCAAATCGAAACCCATTTTCACCATAATTCTGTGCAGGCTGCCACATTCCACTCGGTCGAAGGCCTTAATCAAGTCAAGTTTAATGGCCATAAAGAAATTGTTCCCATATCTGTGCCTACTGAGAAAATGAAAAGCTCCATGGGCAATGATGATGTTATCAAAGAGTTGTCTTCCCTGAAGAAAAGCTGACTGACTACCATTGATACAATCACCCAGGCAAGTCTTTAACCTCGAGGCCAGAATTTTTAAAAGAATTATATAGATGACACTGCAAAGGCTAATGGGTCTATATTGGCTAATCTATTCTGGATTTTGGCATTTAGGAATCAAAGTCACCAAGGTATGGTTCCAGTATTTCAAAAGAGTACCTGATTCAAAAAAACTCTGGATGGCTGCAATCAAGTATTTTTTAATGAGATCCCAATGCTTTTGATAGAACAGAGCATGCATACCATCTTCACCAGGAGAGCTCTCAGCAGAAAGGCCAAAAAGAGCTTTGTGAATTTTATCTTCTCCAACTGGCAAAAGGAGATTATGGTTCATGTCATCAGTAATACTACTGGGGATCAAATGGATCAGAGAGTCCCCTCCACTTGAGCCTTGAGATTAAAAAGAGAGCCAAAATAAGAGGAGATGTGATTTTGTAATTCTTTCTTGTCTGTGAGAACCTGATTATCTTAAGTGATAAGTATGGTAATAGAGTTCTTCCGTCTTCTCAATCTGGTATATGCATGAAAGAATTTAGTGTTGGCATTTCCCTCCTTCCACCATTTGATTTTAGCCCTTTGCTTCCAGTAGGCCTCTTCATGATTGTGGGCCTCCTCTAAATCCAGCCTCACCCTCTCCCATTCCTCCCAATTCTCTTCTCTGCCTGCATTTCTTATTTCCTCTAGCTTGACAGTGAGGGATTCTTGAGATCCTGATTTTGAGATTTGAATTTGGCACTCCAATGGAGAAGAGCAAGTCTAGTTTCCCTCACTTTCTCTTTAAGGATGAAGAAAGGAGTACCTGACTGAGGTTTGTTCCAAGCTGTACTAACCACATCTCTCATCCCATCTTTTTCAAGCCATCTGCTATCAAATTTGAACTTGTTCTTGGGTCTTTGAGGAGGCTTCCCCAAATCAAGAATGAGCATAAAGTGATCAGATGCACTTCTCAGGAAGTTAATCACAGAAGCTGTCTGATGGGTCTTAAGCCAAGAGGATGAAGCAAACCCTCTGTCAAGCTTTTCTTCAACAAAGCCTTCTGACTCCCTGTCGTTTGCCCAAGTGAATTGATAGCCATTCATCTGAATTTCTTCCATCTCCATATCAAAAATAAACCTTGAAAATTCAGCCGTGCTACTAGTGGATCTGCTTCTACCTCCTCTCTTATCTGATGGACAACAGATGTCGTTCTAGTCCCCCATGGCAAACCATTCTTCACCCCACAGATATTTGTCATAGAGCAGAACCTGCCTTTGAGATTCTCTAGTAGCCTTATCAGAGTTCATGTAGACAAAGATGCCCCAGGAGCTGCTTCCATTAGGAGTTTTGAAATGAACAGCTATATAGAACTCCTTGCACAACTCCTGTAAAATAACCACCTCAGAGTTCCAAAAAAGAGCTAATCCACCACTAGTCCCTCTGGGATCAACAATAGCACATCTATCATCATAACCTACTTTCTTACTAACAGTCTTGACAAAGGAAAGTTGCTTTTTAGTTTCAGAAAGAAATAAAAATACTGGGTGGTGAGCCTTGCAGGTCTCTCTGATTTGGGAAATTGTAGAGGGTCCACCCAACCCTCTACAATTCTATACCGCAGCTAGCATTGGTCACTTGGGTGCCACTCGAGGCTGGCCACCCCCACCTTGTCAGAAGAAATTTTGGACTTCTTACTATCAACTGGAACAATGGATTTATCCTTGGTGTCATTGAGAGCCTCTTCTGTCTCTGGATATTGCCTCTTTCCTGAGATGATAGGATCCTTAATCACCAATTCTGAACTCTGCCTTTGAAGCCTACCCTCTTTGTTGCCTGTTCTTTTCCATGTTCTGAGTAGAGGCTTTTGTGACATCATGGATTCTTTTATCTCCAAATTAAGAGTAGTGTGAACTGCCTCTGGGGTGGCAGCAATGATAGAATGATGCGGAATGATTTCATTCAGGGCTCCCACTAGAACATTGTTTCCCAGTGTAGAGTCACAGTTGATATCCTCTGGGGATGAGGAGAAATTTGATGGAGAAGCTGGTTATCCTCCATCTGGCTGGTAGAAGATTTGTGTTGCGATTGCTGATCAGAAGCTAAGTGATTCTCTGAGGGAGATTCTCTAGTGTTTGAGGAGCTAAGGCTAGCCCATTGATGGCTTTCTGCTCTCATCCAATCACCAAACTGTCCCTCTTTAAGGGATTTACTTTTGATATCTGCCAAACGGGATGAACAATTCATGTTTAATGTCCTACCAACCCACAGTAATGGCAAAAATTAATGAGCTTCTCATATTTGAAGCCCACATTCACAATCTGTTCACCCAGCCGAATTTTTGTGCATCTTGGAAGAGGTTCATTTAGATCAATGGATACTAGTAATCTCATAACTTTGCCCCCGTGACTGTCTGCTCCCATAACTACCACATTGATGACCTGTATGTAAACTTGACCCAATTTAGGCCTACATCTGTGCTCAGTCAATTGAGAGGAAGGTTGAAGACTTGAACCCATAAGTTAAGCTCCTGAAAAACAGGGTGCTTGCTAGACAGACCTGTTTGCCACCTTGAGATTGAGATATTGGTTGTCAATACTCCAGTTGTTACCTTTTTCAACTCTCACCATATCTTCCTTGCAATCGAAGATAAATTGAAAGTAGTTATGTTCTAACTCTTTGACCTCCATAGGTTTTCCAAGCTTCCAAATGAAGCCCATCGATCGCTTCACACCAATCCAACTTGCTTTCCGAT